GCATGTGCAATTTCTCTAAAATACTTCAGAGAAAAAGCAAAATTTACAGAAAATGGAAGAAAGAAAATATAACCAAAGAGGTAGGGTGTCAAGAAACTATAGGAACTAAAGGCTAAAGTTCAAAATGTGGTAAAGCTTGCTAAAGATATCAAAAAGAATAAAAAGATTCTTTATGTACATTAGAAATGAAAGTAAAACAAGGCACTTTTGAAGAAAAAGTGGTGAAGCAGTAATGGACAATGGTGAGAAGGCAGAATTTCTCCTATTTTGTAACTATTTTCCCTCTGAAGATAAATGGAGCCCTAGCTGGTCATTATACTGCAGAGGAATGAGAAAAGGGTAATTTAAGATAGACAAGAAAAGAGAACTTAGCTACAAGTAGATCTCGCTTATTGACTGCCTCATTTGGTGTTCACTCGGTTTCCATTGTGCAAAATAAATAACTATGATCAATGCCAAATTTATGATCTTCAGCATGTCCCTCAGTCATGCAATTATCATTACAGTCTATATACATTATTCTGTGCCTGACCTGTTGCCTTTCTTCCCCCCCCCCCATTGCAGAGCAGAAAGATTGGAGAGAAAGAGATTACAAGAGAGTTAGCAAGAAAACATCAGCAAGAGAGTAAGCAGGGGAATATATCAGCTGTTTGGGTAGAGCACTTGCGACTCCCAGTTCCATGTGTGCTCTGGAATGCCAGTTATTTTGATGTGTATTCCCCTTTGTGAGCCTGCTTACTCTCATGTAATCCCTTTCTCCAACAAATGTAAACACATTTAATTCCGTTCTTGCTAATTATCCCAGTATCAGCATGAGCATTCCAAAGGGTGGGAAATGGGCAAAAGGAAAGCAGAGTCATTATGCTGGAATCTCCAACTAGACTGGAGGGAGAGATTAAGAAGTTGCTGAGCTTAGACTCCCTGCATTGCAAAAAAGGGCACAGGTCTGACCTCCCCCAGAATTTCTGAAACTTCATCTGACTGTTCCCAAGGAAATATCACATAGGTGATTAAAATAAACCTGCTTGAGACTATTCACAAGTTGTGAATATTCACTTGTGCCTGACATTCACAGTCATGTGATTTCCCACTTAATGATTGCTTGCCTAACAACAGAGCAGCTGGTCCCAATTGTGGTTGCTAAATGAGGTCTGTGTGTAATTTAAATAAATTCAGAACCAGTTGGCTTACATTCTACAGCACTGTAGTGTACAAACTTGCAGATGTGATTGCAGTACCAATCTTAGTAATCTTGAAAAACTCCAGAAGGTTATATGAAATCCTAGAACACTGGAGGAGGCAAACCCATCTTCAGAAGAAGAATTTGAAAACTACAGATTTGATAGCATGACATCTACAGTAGGCAAGGACTTTGACCAGATTGTCAAACAGCATATGCCTGGATATTTTCATGCTAAAATTAATAGCAAGACAGCACAAACTTTCTTGCAAATATTGTCCAACTTTGTCTCCTTTGATAGAATTGCTGTACTTAATAAGTGTAATCAGGGTAATTCCCTAAATCTACTACACTCAAAAGTACATATGTTTGTTACAGAGCCATGCATATTGTCCTATTTTGGTTTATTACAAATTAGACTCATTTTTTTAATTACTGAATTCTAAAAAGCAGCTTCATTATTCTAAAAATTAATAAGGAATATAGAGTTTTCAAAAAATGCAAAAACACTATACTATAAAAAGGAAAAGGCCAGCATATAGTGGAGTTCAATGGTTAAAGGAGTGATGTAAAGCAGAAGGCTTTGGTTATATTAGTCACAACGTCTGCAGCTAGTCCGATAAAAAAAAACTACAAAAGAGATGGTTTGCATCCATCAAAGAAAGGGACTAAGTAACTTGGCATTAAATTTATGGATTTTCTGGAGAAACATTTTAACTAAACAATGGGGACAAATAGTTGATTGATACAAAACATTTCTGTCCCCAGCAATCTAAAACTAATAGGGTTATCAGTACTTGTAACATAGATGTTTGTGCGCATAAGAATATCAACCTTGCTGTTAAGGAAAATCAAACTTTTGATAGTGTATGCCATTTTGATAGTGTGTGCCATATCATGTGCACTAATCAAACAGGTGGTAAGGAAGTAGAATTTGGACACAAAACAGATTATATAGAAAGTAAACACAGGGTCAGTCAAAAAGGACTCAAATGTCTATATACAGTACCAACGCACAGACTATGAGGAATAAACAGGGTGAATTAGAAAATCAAGTAAATGAAGGGCAGATGTGATATTGTTGCCATTATGGAAATTTGGTGGTATGAAACCCACAAATGGAATATACAGCTAGAGGGATTTAAATTATTTTTTTAAAAACAGACCAAATAAAAGAGGAGATGGAGTTGCACTATATATAAGAAATAACTACATCTCTATAGAAATAGAGCACAATGATGAAAACTGTCTTGAATGCATTTGGGTCCGTATAAAAGGGGGGGAAATGACATTTCCATAGGTGTATACAATAGGCCATCCAACCAAACAGGAAATTGATGGAACGTTTTGCTAGTCAGTTAACTAAGGTATGTAGGAAGTACATCATAATACTAATGGGGGACTGGCATTATTACCTGACATCAACTGGGAGACAAACTCTGCACCAAGTGGAAGATCAAACAGGTTCCTGACAAACCTAGCAGGCAACTCTGTCTCCCAAAAGGTAGAGAAGGGAAATAGATAATCAGCCATATTGGGCTTAATTCTCACTAGTAGAGATGAAATGATAGAAGGTATTTAAGCTACATGAACCTTGGGGGGAGTGATCATGCAATATTGGAATTCAACATTATGCAAGCACAAGCAATAGAACAAAGTCAAACTAGAGTCTTGGACTTTAAGAGAGCTAATTTCAATAAACTTAGAGAGAACTTGGGAAGGATTCCATGGATGCAAATCCTCAAAGGGAAAACAACCCAAGAAACTTTGGAAACTTTGGAAAATGAGATTATAAAAGCTCAGTCTAGCACAATACCAATGAAGAAGAAAAATAACAGCTCTCAAAAAAACACAGGATGGCTGCATAAAGAACTCTCTGATACATTAAAAGACAAAAAGGACAAGTATAAAAAGTGGAACCGGGGGCACATAACTAAGGCAGAATGTCAGCAAATAGCCCAAGCCTGCAAAGATGAAGTGAGGAAAGCGAAGGCTCAAAATGAACTAAGGCTTGTGACAAAAGTCAAAAATAACAAAAAAAGCTTCTTGTAAAAACAAGAAAAAAGTCATTGAACGAGTGGTCCATTAATGGGAGAAAGTGGCAAGAAGGTGATAAGCAACAGGGAGAAAACAGAACTGCTTAACTGCTCATTTTTTGCATCCCTCTTAGGCAAAAGGAAAAAACAGTCCAACTTATCAAAAACAGTACTATAAAAAACAGATTAGGAATACAAGTTAAAATAGACAAGAAAATGGTAAGTGAGCAGGTGTCCACCTTAGACGAGTTCAAATCACCAGGACCAGATGGATTACCCACCAAGGTTCTGAAGGAACTGGCAGACGCTATCTCAGAACCACTGAACTATATCTTTCAAAGATCCTGGAGCACCGGGGAACTACCAGAGGACTTGAAAAGAGCTGATGTAGTTCACATCTTCAAAAAAGGGGAAAAAATTGATCCAGGAAATTACAAACCTATCAGCCTAACGTCAATACCTGGGAAGATTCTGAAAAAGATAATCAAGCAATGAATCAGCAAAGTCACAACCAAAGGCCAACATGGGTTTGTCAAAAACAGATCATGCCAGACAAATCTTATTGCATTCTTTGACAAAGTGACAAAATTAGTGGACCAAAGGAATGCGGTGGATATAATTAGTTGGGCTTCAGTAAGGCATTTGATAAAGTAGACCACAACCTACTATTTGATAAGATAGAAAAATGTGGGTTAGGCATCATCATCACCAGATGGATTTGTAATTGGCTGGCCAACGTATAGTCCTCAATGGAACTTTATCCACATGCAGGGAAGTATGCAGTGGGGTACCCCAAGGCTCTGTTTTAGGCCCAGTACTCTTCAATATCTTCATCAATCATTTGGATGAAGAACTCATCAAATTTGCAGACAACACCAAGCTGGCAGGAATAGCCAACACTCCAGAAGATAGGCTTAAGATACAGAAGGATCTTGACATACTTGAACATTGGACGCTATCTAACAAAATGAAATTCAGTGGTGAAAAAAGCA